CTGAGGCGCCGGACGGTTTGCCAGAATCTCTTCGAGGCCGACCGATAGTCCTTCTCCATGGCCTTACCGAACTCTTCCCAGACCCGAGTTTTTGCCTCCGCAACCGCCTGGGCTGCAGCCCGCTTGGCCTGCCGGTATCTGTCAGCTGTCTCAGGAGTCCCACGAGCCAACCAGGCTCGAAAGGACTCCTTCTTCACCTTGACGGCATCCCTTACTTCCGGTGTCCACCACCGGGTTCGGGGATTGCCACCACGACAGGCACCGGAGACCTTACGGCCACAGCTCCGAACGGCCGCATCGACAATGGAGGTGGAGAATATGGTCCACTCGGACTCGATATTTCCGAGTGGCGGCTTTGTCAGTATTATAAATAAACATAAACACACTTATCATTTATCATTGCTTAAATCCATCCACCCAACCATCTTCCTGTTGATTTTGTTTGATTTCCTGTATTCTAAATTCAGGCAAGATGTTTTTAGTTTTAGAATATGAATTATAGAATATGTAGCCCCTACATTTGGAATGACCAAACTTATGTACATTTAGGGTACTAGCAGAAATGAAAATTTGAGGATGATTTAGACCATAATTTTGACATTTATGCCATATTTGACAGTAAAATTTTGATAAAGTGCAGCTTAATAATGTATTTTTAATTTTGTCTTTACACAAAAGACTGTTTTGTTAGATAGAAAAGGGCTTTAATATTCCTCAAAGTAAGATGCAGTATGATAAAGTGTTGTCTGTGTAGCACTGAAGCAATGCCAACATGTTCAGATTCCTAGTCCTATTATAAGCACCAGGTAAGTTGGGATGAAATGTGAAGTGTGGCTGACACTTATCCACATCCAGATGTATTGATTGCAGGTTATTATTTTTAATGTAATTATTATTATTTTGGTATTGTTATGTAAAAATGAAGATGTCCTTTTTTGCACAAATAGCTTCAGCAGTTGTGTGCATGTGCTTAGCACTGGGTGGCAGTATAACACAAAGCCTCATGCTGTGCTGTTCAACAATGTGGGTATAATTAGTCCTAAAAGCCTATAATGACTGAATAAATCAATGAATAATTTCTACTGTCATGTACAATGAAATTCCATCTGGCTTTCAGTAACAAAGTTAAGGCACTACTTACAGAAAATTAAATTTACAGATTTTATTAAGTTAAATTTACACATTTTCAGGTTTTTTAATTAAATATACAATTTACAGATTTAATTATGAATCTTAATAGATACTAAACTGTATTCAGTTTGTTTACAGTAGCAGTCTGCGGGTGTGCATACACGTGTATAGTATGATGGCTTAAGTTAAAGATGTTGTTATAAAAGACATTCTGTAGTTTTGTTAATTGATATGATATGATATATGATCATGATATGATATATGATCATGATATATGATAAACTGTATAATGGTCATGTCAAATCTTTTTTTTCATCAGTGGTACTGGCCAACACTATGGATAACACATATAACAGGAACCTTCCAGTTAGTTCTCTGACTGTGTCACGGGTAAGCTTTGTCCATTTGTTTGTGATAAATGTTTCAGTGTCAAAGCAGTGAATATGTTTGGGGACGAAGTTTTCAATTTTCTATTTGTGTTTCAGTTTATTGACAACATTTCATCTAGGGAGGAAGTTGATCAAGCAGAGTACTATCTTTACAAGTAAGAGGACTCATTTTTACTCTTTGTGCTTAACCTCTGTGTCAAACATGCTCATTGCTCATTGGGTTTTGCGTGGTACCAGCTTGTCTGCTTTTCTTGGAATGAACTGTCTGTTTGGTTTGTCTGTTTAGGTTTATATTCAGTCACATGCTTTTATTTGTTCAGGGTAGCTCCAGACCTTTCCTGTTTACTCCCTCCCTTGGAATCTGCACCCACTCTTGTGATTACATGATTTTGTATCTTTCCCAGGCATACCCTTGTTCAGGGCACATTTCATTATTCATAATTGAGTAAGAATTAAATAATTACCTTTCCAAGCTTGTAGCAAGTCATTTCAGATGCTAACACGTTAAACAGTTTTTGATGTGTTTGGGCTCTTGTATTTCAACTATTAGGGCAGATTTGTTCAGAATTAAGCCATTACATTTGTTCTCATCATTTCATCTTGCACATTAATAATGCAGAGCTGTGATGGATTTAAAAGGAAACTCTGATGTGTGTGGGTTTTTCTTTCTGTTCAGGTTTCGTCACAGTCCAAACTGCTGGTATTTACGAGACTGGACCATTCACAGTTGGATCAGACAGTGCCTTAAATATGGGGCCAGAGAGAAGGCTCTGTACACACTTAAAAACAAGGTCCAGTATGGAATATTCCCAGATGATCACTTAAAAACAAGGTATCCCTGACATTATATTCCTTCTTTATTCAATAATTACAAGTAGGCCCGATATACACTGGAAGCTTATTTGTAGGTGAGGCTTATTTCCATAATGAAAGAAGAAGTCAGATGTGGGCTGACAGCGACAGTTATCTGACACTTTGAGTGATTACATCTCTAATCTTCACCACCCAGACTTGTTTTCAAACTAATCTGACATTTTCAGACCAGCATGTGTACAGGTTGTGACATCTGGTGCATGCTGTCATGTTACTGAGAGGTTAGAGGTCTTAATGTCAGGGATGCATGAGGGATCAGAAGTTGTTTTTATTGTGTGTGTGTGTATGTGATATACACAGTGTTTACCAAATCACACAGGGTAAACAGTCAGTGTTCACGGATAAGTCATGTAAAACATTTATGTTACATTTGTGATGCAAATATGCAAAAATCTGTGTGTGCGTGCGCAGGTCCAGTATGGAATATTCCCAGATGACTTCACCTTCAACCTGCTCATAGATTCTTACATTAAGGATGGAGACTTTAAAAGTAAAGTGTATTTACTTTTTGTTTAGTGCTAAGATATTGTATAGTTGAGAATTGTAACTCTGTTGTTGTAATTTACAGGTGCATTCTCTGTGGTTGAAGAGGTGATGCTTCAGGAAGCCTTCGACCTCCCCTCCACACAGATCCTGTCTCTGTACGCTTTGGGCAGTTACCTAGCAACCAGACCACAGCTCACTGTGAGTGAAGCAATAGCAACATGGGAGGTGTTACGAAAACAAATGTTCCCAGATTATTCTTATGCTTAGAAATACAGTACACCGCTTTAGGCTCTACACTGACGTCATCGCTTTCTTTATGATGGGGTTTCATTCAGAGGGCCTCTAAATTCATTCTGGGAAAAGTAAATGTCACAGGATTAACATGTATGCTTCCAAACCAAACATGAGTGTTCCTGACTGGGCTCAGGTGTCAGAGGAGCGGGCAATGGGGGCATCGCTACTTATCTGTGGATTGAAGCATGACAACACTGTTGGCCTCAGTGCTCAGCTACTTGGCAGTGCTCTACTAGGTGTGTACTGCAGCTTCTCTCTTCAGCTTTTTTTTTTTTTAACTGATTGATTCATCCAGCACTCTATAATTATGCTGCTAATCTCATTTATTCTCCTCCTCTTTCCCCGTGTAGGCAGGGTGGAGATTTTAAATGGCATATGTGCTGTGTTCAAAGGGATGCCGCTCTCCTGGGCACGTGGATATCTGGGCCGGGCGCTGGGCGTCATGGAGAGTGTGGCTGCTGCTTCTTGTGATGTCAAATTATCCAAAGACACAGTAAGGAGATAAAAAAAATCAGAGGAGTATTATTGCAAAAGCATCATCAAACTTTCCAGCAGAGTCATGGGTGTTGACATGCTTTTTTATTATAAAGCTGTTTATCATGTACAAGTCTTTTTATGTGTGGAGCAGAACTTGAGTGGCTTTGGTCCTCATGGTGGGGTGCTAGGTGCGGGCACAGTCCCAATCATTAACAAAACCCAGGTGACACTGATGTGTGATTTGCTTGCTATCATATCAAGGGTGTACTGACCCAGATCTGTCCAGGCTGTACCCTAGTGTCAGCTGGGATCAGTGATAACAGGGCCAATACTGAGCCCATTAAGCAGGTCAGATATTGATCCCCAAATAAATACTGTTTTTGTTTGTTTGTTTTTAACTATCAATTCAAGTTTTAGTTGTATAGCACAAATTCTCAACAACAATTATCTTGGGCTATGTTACATCATCAGGTCTAGACATTACAGTATTGTAGAGGAAAACCCAACAAATCCTCCTTGAGCAAGCACTTGGCGAGAGAGGGGAGGAAACACTCCCCTTAACGGAAGAAACCTCAGACAGATCCAGGCTCTTGGTGGGCAGCCTTCTGCCTCGACTGGTTGGGGCGAGTGGCTGGAGGAGAAAGAAAAGAAAAGCATCAAGAGACAACAGTCAAACACTGGGCAGGTTAATGTGGCTGGTTGACTGCTCATCAGATATGTACAGCTCCAGAGCCAAGGATACCTGCAGAAAGGTACAGCGGGGGAGAGAGGACAAACCACGGGAGAGAGGAGACACAAAGTTAGTGACATATAATGGTGGCATATAAAAATAAAATGGAGAGGAGCTCAGAGCATCATGGGGGGGCCTCCAGCCTAGGGCCTCTAACTCTGACATGGTACACCAAAGCTATCCTATAAAAAGAGCCGTATGCAGCTTCCTGTTGCTGGCTCATTTCTGGTTAGCCATACCAGCCAGCATCACTCCTTCCTGCACTCATTTGCACGTTTGTTATCGATCTTCTTCGCTGACAGGGTTTGACGCTAGTCGGACATACTTCCCAAAATGTTACTGTTGTAAATTTAACTTGAATTAAGTTTTCTTACAGACAGACTTTTGTGATTAAGATGAAAATACTGCATAGGCTCAAACAGTGAGCATGGTTCTGCAACACACACACACACAGTTGTGACAGATTGTTACTGTCCAGGTGGGGTGTAGACATGGACTTAATTTCAAGGTCAAAGTGTTTATTTGTCATATGCCGTCCACACAGTACAAGTGAAATATAAAGTATATGAGCAATAACATATCTAAATAGGTAGTAGAACAAACCGAAGGCACTTTAAAGCAACAACAAGAACACAATGTAATGCAGAGAGAATATATGTTATGTGGGAGCCGTGATGTGCAAATATTCAGCAGTGAGTGTGCAAACTGAGTATGGAAACAGTACAGATGGAATTACATGAGGTAGATCCTGAGTCAGCAGTTTAGGTGTCTGATGGCAGTCGGAAAGAGTTTTTCAGTCTAGAATTCTTGCATTTCACACTTCAGAGCCTCCAACTGGAGGGTAGAGGTATGAACAGTCCATGCTGGGGGTGAGTGGGGTCCTTGAGGATAGAGGCATCTTTTCTACGCATCCTGTGGTGGTAAATGCTCTGCAGAGAGGGCAGTGGAGTCATTTGATGAGATGGAGCACACGCTGTCATATTTTGGTTGTTTTTACATAGATGCATGCACACACAGTTGGGTGTAGCACCTCTAATCCACCCTGCGCTGTCTGGTTCAGTAGTTCAGTCTTGTCTATGTCTAATGAGATTTTTGAAGAGCCTGGATCCCTGAGGATGTCTGAGAATCACTGCAACAGGAGCCAAACAGCCTGTTTCAGACGGCGTCACAGCAATAATGTAGACAGAAGATAACACTACAAGTTATGTTGCATCTCAAATGACGGTGCTGTTGATGTCTACCTCAGGTCACATAATCTTACCGCTTCCTAAGATTTAAGAGTTGCCGAGTAAGGTGTCTGGCCTCTGCCATCATTACTTGTCTGTTCTGTAGTCCCTCTAATAGTCCCTCTAATAAGGAAGTGTATCTTCTCAAAAGTTGAAAACATTAAAATCAAGTAATTTAATATACACTAACTGAAGATTAAGAACTCACTGAACTGCACTTTAAATTTCTTTTGCAAAAAATATAAATAAAAATTGTATAATGTTTCTGTATACTTTTCATTATTTCCAGCTGGAGTTCATGAATGACTTGCTCCAGAAACTGTCTTCCACCTCAGACTCTGACTCTTCCGGAGAGGAATCAGGAGGTGAAGAGGACAAGAAAGACACTGTAGATGAAGACGATCAGGCCGAGCAGGCTAAGCTACCTCAGTACATAAACAGATTCAAGGTGGGTGTTTTGTACTTAACTGTAGGTGTGTTTTGGTTTGTTGCAGCAACCGAACTTTAATCAGTTTTTTGTGCCAGGGCAGGTCATGTGATCAACAGTGTTTGCTGTCACGTAACTCTGAATTTTCCATGGTAAATCAAGCAAACAGCATGTTTTATTTTCTTTCAGGTTTGTTTCATACACATGACAAAACTGAACAAAGAACTAAAGTTTCTTTAATTTCATTGTGGTGTTGATTTGACATTCAGTGTCTGCCGTGCACAGCTTACACAGGTCTAAAAGGTGGTTTCCTTTTTTTAATAAGTCACATGACATTCAGGCTTGACTGGACCTTTTAACATCTGAACTTTTCAAGACAACATTTATGGTCAGCACCTATAAGCAGTAACTATCATTTAAGGGCTTTTATGTGAACAGGTGAGAACAGGTTTCTAATATGAAATGCAGAGTCTCAGATATCCAAAGCCAGCATTTTTATAGACTGTGACTCCAGATCATTGATCTCTTTTGGGATTTAAATGATTTCAGGGAAGCTTGAGCAGTTTGAAATGCACTGAATGGACTTCACAGGTTTGGACATTTTCACCCAAGTCATTTAAATGAAGTGTTGAAGTCACTATTTGTCACCTTCGGTCTTTTTATGTTTCCCTGCCTCTCCAGGAATTAAGCAGCCTCCTGGAGTCTCAGGGCAAAGTGGAGTCTGCCTCGTTCCAGGCGTTAGTGACCACTCTGGCCCAGCAGAACCTGGCTGCTGCAGAGAAATTGGACCTGGAGCAGTACGAGAGTCGGGTGCAGGCGTGGGAGGCTGAAAGGAAACAGTTGATTCAGAGGGAGAAAGAGATGAGGGAAAAAGCTGAGCAGGAGAAACAGGAGCGATTGGCTGCCAAGGCAGTAGCTCAGCAGGTATAAAGATGTTAAGGATGGAGGTGATAGAGATCATTGAACTGTCCACTGAGTACAAGTTAGAATTGTGTATTTTTAGATCTTCAAGTTGTCACTAGTTTTCTGCTGGTGTCACAAGTCATTTTGCTTTTGTACATAATTATGTTCTTTTATACGTTCTTTATTCTAGCTTAATTGGGGCACATTCAAATATTCGGTCAAAATAAAACTGCAAATTTTCAATTCTAGAAGAAATACTGTCTCATATTTAGTGTTTTTCTGCAGTGAACCATGGGATGATATCATTAATGGAAAAAAAACCCCATAAATCTTGCAGTATAAATGCTGATAGCTGCAAAAGTAGACACTGTCGTTTGTTGTTAAAATATCACCCTGAGATCGCTCTATCAGCTAATACAGGAAAAGCTCTTATTAGTAAAAATGGCACATGTAACCTGGCAAATAGAGTAAACTCTAGGTTGTTTTCAGACTACTGAAAGGTCTCTGGAGTGGAAAATGCCATTGTGGTACAGCACAGAATGTATTTATTCCACATTATGTTGCAGCTGTTCAGTATTCAGAGCATGATCTTTGGGAAACAATCTGTTATGTAGTCCAGGATGAATGAGCAGCACAAGCTGCTAAAACAGGTGCCACTGACACGAGGCTCCTTAGTGACCGAGAGCAGCTCTTCTCAACCTTCTGCCAGTGAAATCTTGTATCTTGTACCAGCTTCACTCCGCAAACTGAATGAGCTCGGGTAATATAATGTGTTATTCTTATCTCCTAGTGATAAAGCTTTAACTGTGTAACAGCAGCAGACTGAGTGTTTACATTTCTTGCTGTTGTCAGAGAAAGTTTTTGGTTGTCAAACAGGTGTGTGGAAACACTGCTGAAGAAGTGCATCAAGTGAGATGTCATGGGGCGGGGAGGTCAGGAAGTTTGACATTCACATCACTGGTTATCTGATGCCCAGAGCCTTTTGAGTGTTTTTAAAAGACCGGTGTGTATGTTTATGGAGGGGAGGAGTAAAGTGGTTGCAGGGTGTCATGAGCCATTTGAGATATTTAAATAGTAAAGAAGCTGAAAGAGAAAATGGGATGGGTTTGATGTGATCAGTGCTGAGCTTGGCTACCGACCATGTGGTACTGTACAGACCTGTTGTCTCTATAAGGAAGCTTTAACACTTAAGTTGCTAGGAGAATTTATAACAAAACCATCACACCCTTATCTAATTTTCTACTCTGAACAGTGTGTTCTTCTAAATTCACAAATTTTCCTCTTAGTTGGTTTTTAACCACTAGTTGCGAGTTTTATCTTCTTGCGATTTTGTGGTGTAAATACAAACTGTTATGTTTTTTCCTCAGCTCAACAGGATGCGGTTCCTATTTTTGGTCTGCAAGTGAGTCTCTAATGAGATAGGAGACCACAGTGTCTGTATCCTCTGTAAATCGGATTAGAGGGTAAGATGCTGCCTGCCCACAGAAATACAGTGCCTTGCGAAAGTATTCGGCCCCCTTGAACTTTGCGACCTTTTGCCACATTTCAGGCTTCAAACATAAAGATATAAAACTGTAATTTTTTGTGAAGAATCAACAACAAGTGGGACACAATCATGAAGTGGAACGAAATTTATTGGATATTTCAAACGTTTTTAACAAATAAAAAACTGAAAAATTGGCCGTGCAAAATTATTCAGCCCCGGGCGTGCAAAATTATTCAGCCCCTTTACTTTCAGTGCAGCAAACTCTCTCCAGAAGTTCAGTGAGGATCTCTGAATGATCCAATGTTGACCTAAATGACTAATGATGATAAATAGAATCCACCTGTGTGTAATCAAGTCTCCGTATAAATGCACCTGCACTGTGATAGTCTCAGAGGTCTGTTTAAAGCGCAGAGAGCATCATGAAGAACAAGGAACACACCAGGCAGGTCCGAGATACTGTTGTGGAGAAGTTTAAAGCCGGATTTGGATACAAAAAGATTTCCCAAGCTTTAAACATCCCAAGGAGCACTGTGCAAGCGATAATATTGAAATGGAAGGAGTATCAGACCACTGCAAATCTACCAAGACCTGGCCGTCCCTCTAAACTTTCAGCTCATACAAGGAGAAGACTGATCAGAGATGCAGCCAAGAGGCCCATGATCACTCTGGATGAACTGCAGAGATCTACAGCTGAGGTGGGAGACTCTGTCCATAGGACAACAATCAGTCGTATACTGCACAAATCTGGCCTTTATGGAAGAGTGGCAAGAAGAAAGCCATTTCTTAAAGATATCCATAAAAAGTGTCGTTTAAAGTTTGCCACAAGCCACCTGGGAGACGCACCAAACATGTGGAAGAAGGTGCTCTGGTCAGATGAAACCAAAATCGAACTTTTTGGCAACAATGCAAAATGTTATGTTTGGCGTAAAAGCAACACAGCTCATCACCCTGAACACACCATCCCCACTGTCAAACATGGTGGTGGCAGCATCATGGTTTGGGCCTGCTTTCTTCAGCAGGGACAGGGAAGATGGTTAAAATTGATGGGAAGATGGATGGAGCCAAATACAGGACCATTCTGGATGGAAACCTGATGGAGTCTGCAAAAGACCTGAGACTGGGACGGAGATTTGTCTTCCAACAAGACAATGATCCAAAACATAAAGCAAAATCTACAATGGAATGGTTCACAAATAAACATATCCAGGTGTTAGAATGGCCAAGTCAAAGTCCAGACCTGAATCCAATCGAGAATCTGTGGAACGAACTGAAAACTGCTGTTCACAAACGCTCTCCATCCAATCTCACTGAGCTCGAGCTGTTTTGCAGGAGGAATGGGCAAAAATTTCAGTCTCTTGATGTGCAAAACTGATAGAGACATACCCCAAGCGACTTACAGCTGTAATCGCAGCAAAAGGTGGCGCTACAAAGTATTAACTTAAGGGGGCTGAATAATTTTGCACGCCCAGTTTTTCAGTTTTTTATTTGTTAAAAACGTTTGAAATATCCAATAAATTTCGTTCCACTTCATGATTGTGTCCCACTTGTTGTTGATTCTTCACAAAAAATTACAGTTTTATATCTTTATGTTTGAAGCCTGAAATGTGGCAAAAGGTCGCAAAGTTCAAGGGGGCCGAATACTTTCGCAAGGCACTGTATGTTTAATATGCAGCAAGGCCATCTACTTCATATTTAACATTTTACAGAGATGAAAACAATCTAATTTGAATGTTTGTCTTGGTTTTTGTGTGTCTTGACGCTGGTGTATACCTCACCTATGAAGCCATGAATTGGGCAGATGTGCAGTGGTAATTAGAATTTAAATTAATTTGTTTTCTGTCATTTTTTTCATTATTAGCTAATGTATATAACCTTTTCAAACCATTACCTGTATCAGGGTGAAAAGACCGCTGCCATAGAGAAGAACAAGACATTATGAAAGGTGCAAACATGCAGACATCAAAGAAATTCATTATGGTTGTTGTGTACATGAAAAGTGAAAGTTGTTTCAAAAAGAGTATGAGAGAGAAGCTCAAAATTGTTGGACGCAGCCCCCAGTACTAATGTTGGAAAAGTGTGGGTCAGGGTGTCAGACATTCTTCAAACATTTGACACTTTGAAGCCCCTTAATAAAGATGAACAGTGGTCACGACTAACTGCTCAACAGTTGATCAAATTGGCAAACTTGCTGTCACTGCAGAGTTACTGGATGTTATGACACCTGCTGTTAATGTGAAATCTGCAGCTGGGTTTTCAGTCCTCCTCCTCCTCTCTAGCCCACTGAAAACAATGCTCTGACATCTGCTATTTATTAGGATATTAGATGTGTTGATACTGATAAGTATTTTCAGCATCTCTTTCAAACTCCTGAGTGCTCACTGCTGCAGCACTGTATCCAAAAGGCTTTGTGAAAGAGCACTGACCCAACACTGAGGTGATGTGAACAAAACATGTCTGAGCATTTAGGGATGTTGTAACAGTCTGACAAGACATATCACAGCTATGTCACTGACCTCCCTCGTGGCTCCAGTCCAGACTATGAAACCAAAGTAGAACGAGTCACCAGGTGGTGACTACTTACATTGCTACATCACAAACGAATACAGTTACACTTTATGGAGCTCACAATTTACTGTGGAAACTAAACTCTACTGTAAATGACTCCTTTATAAGTGTTCCAGAGAATACTCTCACCCTCATAATCATGCCTCGTTTTCCCTCCCACTGAATAACAGGATCTTGTGGGAACTGCTGATGGAAAGGGTTTCACTGGTAAAGGTGGAGCAACCAGATAAAAGTAGATCAGATGAGAACAATTGCTCAGGTTGCTTCTGATTGTTTATATCATCAAAAGGAAATTCTTGTAAGATCTCTGTTGCTTGTTCCTTCTCTTGGTTCTGTACATCATCTCCCATGATCATCATATGAATCATGATCCAAAAATCATCTTTATCAGGTTCTTTTAATTTGTGTGTTTATTTTTAATCATAAACAAATGTACTTTCACAGTAAAAAAAAATATACTTTATAATTTATGCATAAATTAAGATCAAAATTAGATTTAAAACAAACTTTATAAGACTACAAATAGATGAAACATCTGGCAAAAGTACAAGAAAACTATTGAACTACTAAATGAAAGAAACTACATGTGGGATCAGGAATGAAGAAACAATTTGGGACTAAAATTTAAAAGGAGGATTTGAAAAATAAGTTTTCCGCCCTGATTAGGTGCACAGCTGTGCACTGAGCCAAACACACTTCCAGTGAATGCTGCAGACAGGAGTTGGATTGTGATGTTTTTGCACTGGAAGAAATTTGTAAAACTGCAAAAACTGCTTTTGATCAATTTAAAATTTGAATTGGGTCAGCCGCAAACAACCTGGATAAACAAAAGTATAGACTAGCTGTCAAATTAGTTACATGACTGGGAAAAACAAAGATCGACACTGTTTGCATATAGGCTTGTATGTTGCTGTTAACATGTTGCTCTTAGATTGACAAAAACATGATGACGTCCTCCATTTTCACACAAAAGCTGCTTTTCACAATGAACTGATAAAATGCGGAAGGGAAGAAAATCTCAAGCTTCACTTTAAGCAACACATTAGCTTCAAATGACAGTTAAACTTTATCAGTAGTGACTACTCAGCTGAAACAACTGGTGGTGGCAGAATTGCTTTAAACTGTTGTTACTGAGACTGCAAGTAATAATAATAATAATAATAATAAAAATAATAATAACTTCTGCCATCTTGACCTCAGTAATCTAGCTGGACCTGTAGGGTCCCATTCAGTTTCTTGCACTGCAGTGAGCTGACACAGTAAGAGTTCATAAATAGCCAAATTCACAGACTGTAGTTGGAATATAAATGAACTTATTAATTAAGATGCAATGTTGGCTGAGCTTATGCATCATCATGAATATATCATCCTACGTGCTCTTTTTCCATTGTGCTCCAGTGGGCAGCTAGGGTCGTCGGGCCATATGATGATCAGCAGTAAAGATCTCAAATGCAGCTTTGAGTTTCTCTTCCTGTTAATGTTTACCACCATGATGCATACATCTGCAGGTTTGTGCTGATGTAAGACTGGCAGTTTTTCTAAGGAAATGTTTGACTGTTGCAATGAGTTGCACCTGTTTTTACTGATAAACTGTCCTGCTAAAAGGTCAGAAAAATAACTGTAAATATTAATGTTAGGAAGTAAACTGCATAAGAGTGTCCTTTGTCATGCTGACTTAAATAAGGTTGTGCCAGCTTTTGTATTGTGGCAAGAGCTGTAATCCTACAGCCTGAAGCACAAATCGTGCTCTCTGGGTTTGATATGTTCCAGCTGTCAATAGTTGACATTAGATGTACAGTACGTTTTATGCTCAGATTACAGTGCTCATATGCTGTGAATCTATATTTTCAATGAGTTAGATATGATTAAATGTGGTGAATTCATCAACAGTCCAAACAAACTAATGGAACGGTTTGGTCAGATGCCTGCTGTGACCGATCTGAAAAAGCAGCCCAACTATGTCTGTTTCCATGCTGAGATCACGTGTTAAACTCAGAGCCAGATCAAACAGTTTGTCTTATTTTCTGCGCTGCAGCCCTCTTATACTGAGTGAGACTGCATACGGATGTTATCTACAAATCCACCAGACCCCAGAGTAAACACATCCAAACTCCCTCTAAACTTTATATTTGAAAAGAAGCTGCAACGCGTCCTCGAGGACAACAACATGTCCACCTGGGTGAATTCTCAAAGATGCTGGGAATGAGATGACTCCTCTGATGATAGTTGGTTTGACATAAAGCAGTTGTAAGCTGCTTTACTTGAAAGTACGGGTTTAATTCTTAAAATAACAATGTAGACAACACAGTGATCTGAGAACAAATGCTCTCATCAGGCTGTTCACTTCTGCCTCATATAGTTTACTGTTGACCATTTTCTGAAACATGCCCAGATTTTTAAATGTACAGCAACCTTCCATTAAGGTTTGCATTTATTTTACTATGAAATGAAAAACACCTTGATAGTTGAAGGTTTTTGGCTTTGAAAACTTGTTGATAACTAGTTTGGCATTTTGGGGACTGTGCTTGTTCTTTTAATTTATGAACAGATGTGCATTTGCTTAGCATAAAGACCGCACCAGTGGCTTCTTGATTTCTCCACTGGTTGTGTGGAAGCGGATCCCAGTGATGAATACGATGATTAAGCAAACAAGATAGAACATATTTTACATTAGTAAACTTTAGAGGTGCTGGTTTTGGTTATGTTTGGACAGAGCTTGTTCCCCCTGTTTCTAGTTGAGACAGTTAAACACAGTCACAGTGAATATCTTATAAGCAGTGGACAGTAATTAGGTACGTTTACTGAAGTGCTGTGCTTAAGTACAATTTTCTGTATCTGTACTTGAGCATTTTCATTTTGTGACACTGCTTACTTTGACATCACTACATTTTAGAGACAAATATTGTACTTTTTACTCCACTATATTTGTTTTATAACTTTAGTTACTCGCTGCAACGTTAAATGTGATGTACACAGTTTCAGTAGTTACAGCTCAGCAGTTAGATACACATTGATTTTAAAAGTGCCATTCTGTATGATGACTACTTTTACTTTTAGTACTTTAAGTGTGTTTTGATGCTGCTACTTCTGTACCATTTTGAATGCAGAGCTTTGACTTGTAACAGTATTTTTTAGACGTTTTATACCTTTACTCAAGTAATGGGTCAGAGTCTTTCTTCCACCACTGCATGTAAGTTTAAAACTGAGTTCACTGACAAGCTGTGAGTTGTGCTTATACAGTCGTTTTTTTCAGTTGTGAAACGTGTGGGTGTGTAAGCAGAGCGCCTCTGCACTGCACATTATGCAGAATAACACCTGGACTGACTGCTTTCTTTGACCCATCCCACAAGCTGCCAAATGTGTCTGTACTTGTCCTTGTACCCGAGATCATGTTTTACTTAACAGGTAGTGGTTGTTTTTTTTTTTTAACAAAAAGGCCTTTGGCAAAACATCATCTCAGGTGATAAATCACAGGCTCAGCCCAAGCATGAAGCCAAAGCAGAAACATTCTTACAATGAAAATCATTCAGTCCTACACTTAAATATTGTGACAAATACAGTGCGCCACACACTTAGCATTTCTAGGTTTTCTCCCTCCAGTTCTAAGAAGCAAAGTCAAAGCCATACCAACAAAATATTCACAGGTTTCCACCAAGTGGCAATACTTTAATGATATAGGAGTTTATAGAGTATGAAACATTTCCATGAAACAATGTAGTAATTGTTTAGCACAGGAATTAAAGCCCTAGAACAAATAATGTGTTTGGGAAGTAGTTTTTTCTTTGCTTACTTCAGAACACAAAGAATAAAAACAACTGTACAAACAGAAAGAGCTGTTGGCTGTAATAGTGTATTTGCAAAATAAGCTGGAGTCACATTTAAAGGAAATGTGATTCCTTCACTTGTGCTGGTGGTCAGAACTGCAGCCATGCTGCAGGTTATCTCACTTTGACAAACAAATCCAGGAAAAGCACAGTCATGACCGGCCCAGTGTTTCAAATGTACTTACAGCACAGTTTCCAAAGCTTGAACCCAGACATACAAGTGTAGAAACACACAACACAGATTTTACTGGCTATGCATGCACAGGTCAGGATACACCTATAAACACATTACATAAGGGCTGTTCTTCAAAGGGCTGGCAAGTTAGGGCTGATCATGTCGTAACCAGTCTGCATATCAACGGTGTGCTTAAAAAATAATCACAAAAGGTTTCCCCTGTAATGCGTTTAAATAAATCCCAGAAATTGGCAACAAGTGTGTTTTCCAAGAACAAAGGGTGTCAGATTTGATGTGTAAGAACGCCAAATGGTGTTTGTGGTGGACTCAATTATAAAACCAGACGAACTGATTTAGCTGAAGGTTTTTACTAGTAGCAACTAGACAATCGATACACAGTCCGGGATACACAATCAGGTCGATAAGACAGTCCAGGGTCAGCGCCGGTAGACAGGTATAGCCAGGAGAGCCAACCTCGAGAGGTCAAGGGGAATAACTCAGAAGGTCGGTACACTGCAGGCAATCAGACACTGGAAGGGCATAGGCAAAACACGGTGGTCAAAAACAGTAATCCAAGGTCAGAAACAGAGAATCAGGCAAGGTATAAATGCTGGAGAGTCAGAGCTAGGATCTAGAACAATCTGGCAGCTTCCTGGTGGGAGGATGCTTCTAAATAGAAGTAAGGAGCAGGTGAAACTAATGATGATTAAATAAAAGGGCCAAAACTGAGGTGAAACAAAACAGGAAGTAATGTGAAAATAAAAGCCTGACAGGAAGCAACGGAACCGAATCGTGACAGGGTCAGTGTAGCAGGATGATGCTAGGCTCAAGGTCTCAGCTCCTCAGAGCTGAACATACTCTGTGAAAGCAGTTGCAGTTTGGCTCAGGTCAGGGCACTGGCTAAAGTAGTGGACTGAGTGTATGTAGATCTATGCTCATTCAAGAGTCTTCAGGTATTCAGGAGATGAATTAAAGTCCAAGTGTTTAAATCTCGATTAGGGATATAAGTGCATTTTAGCATTTTCCACTCTTTATTGTGAAAATATCTATTGTTATGTCCATTAAACAAAAAATCAGAATGTCTTGAGTTAGATTTTGAGAGGTTACACAAGTATGATCATAAATTATACAAAATATGTTTCCAGTAAGGCTTTCTGTGATCCACCTGTAGTGTTTTAAGTTAACCTCACACTGGGATTACACACATGTGTGAGTACTCAGCTTCTTTCTTTTTGTTCTCTTTTAGAAATCAAGCCCACACATCTGGACAGAGAACTCTCTGATTATAGATCTTTTCTGTAAAGATCCAGCCACATATGGTGAATAATCATGTGTTATGTTTAAGTCAGCAGACCCGTCATCATGTCAGAGACACTGGTGTCCTCACTGTCACCCAGCAGGACATAATGGTTATCTGCTCTCCGACAGAAATCATGGATACAAATTATGTTGTACCGTAGTCACCTCTGCACGAGGACTAAATTTGAATGGCCTGGTAAATTGTTCATCACAGAAACATGATGTTTTTCTAAAAAACACAATGAAAAAAGTCATGCTTATACTTTATCCAAAGGGGAAGCAAAGAGATTGGTTGGGGAGACTGTTTTTTGGCTTCTGGTCAGCAGGGTACCTGACAGCTTTTTGAATCTGTAATATTTGCCTGTAATTTGGTGTACTAATCAACATTAGACCCAGGAACAACTAATTGGATTGTGGTAAGCTATTTGACATTTAACTCATTTTATCCACAATTAACCTATGGAACAAACAAAGAGCGTGTTGATCCCAAATCAATCCTATTATGACATGATTGTCAGGAAATCAATTTAGTATAACCTTTAAATAAGTGATTTCTTTTGGTTGTTGCAGCCAATAACAATGTCTTTTATTTTAGCTCATGTTTGTCATATTTCTGTATTGTTATGTCCTAAGTCATCTTGTGTTATTGTGAGTAGGTTTGTGAAGTGCTTGGTAACATGGTTGCTGAAGTTATTTTTTTATTTGAAGTATTGTAACCTATTTTTATATTATAATAATAATCTATGGCATTCTTGCACATTGTTTTCTGTGAGTTTAGGTTAATCTCTGTGTGCTGGTGTTACACAATACATCCAAGCCTTTTCTGTACCGCAATAACAAAGCTGATGAGGGCTGTGAAGTGAAACGGGAGGCTGAACCCTGCTGAAAACCTGACGGCAGAGCCTCATTTCATTGAAGTCTGCTTTTTTTCCCTCCATGTCCTGCTGAGTGAAACCTGCTTCTGTCCAGCAAGCTCAGGATCTGATAGCAAGACGCCCACGGCAACCACCGCAGGCAGAGGATGCTCTGAGAGGGGCTGGACGTTTTTAAGAAGTTGGCTTTTAGCTGTTTTTATCCCGGATTTTGACAATGTTGCGCAAGTTTCTTTCAGGTACAAATAAGTTTCCTGCTCTTCGCCGGAAATTATGGCGTTAGGAAAAGTTGTTTCTTGAACTGCTTTTGGAGTATATAATGTCAATGAATAATCAATCGATGACAGAGAGGACCATGGTTCCGACCATTCCTTCGATTATGTTCATTTCTGGGGTGGTTGGCAATATCATCGCCATTGCGGTTCTTTCTAAATCTCTGAAAGAACAGAAAGAAACCACGTTTTACACGCTGGTGTGTGGACTGGCAGTCACGGACCTACTGGGCACATTGTTGGCCAGTCCGGTCACCATCGCCATTTATATGAAAGGATCGTGGCTGGGAGATGACCCGCTGTGCCAGTACTTTGGATTCACCTTGCTTTTCTTCTCTCTGGCGGGCCTCAGCATAATCTGTGCCATGTCTGTGGAGCGATACATCGCTATAAACCATGCTTACTTCTACAATGACTATGTGGACCAAAAACTGGCGGGTTTAACTCTCCTAGCAATCTACATCTCCAATGCGCTTTTCTGCGCCCTGCCAAGTATGGGCTTTGGACAGGTGAAGAAACAATACCCGCAAACCTGGTGTTTTTTAGAGTGGAGGAGCAACAAGACCAGCGATGCCGCCTACACCTACATGTATGCGGGTTTCAGCTCTCTTCTTATTCTCGTCACTGTTATTTGTAACGTGCTGGTGTGTGTGGCTCTGATCCGGATGCACCGGCGCTTCGTGCGCAGAATGTCCTTGGGAACCGATCTAGGGCGCAGCGTGGACCCGCGGAGAAGAGGACGCAGTTTTGGGCGTCTGGCCGGTGCAGAGATTCAGATGGTTATTTTGCTCATAGGCACGTCGGCAGTGGTGCTCATTTGTTCCATCCCACTTGTAGTAAGTTGTCTTTTTACAGTTTCCGCATGTTTACGCATGGCCTTTATACGCACAGGCACAGTTTGTAGGTATATAGACCTATTGAGTTATGTAATTGCATGTAAACCTTAAACCTTAAAAGGGGGTTTTCCGCCCTGATTAGATCCTGTTAAAAGGGGGTTTACTGACTAACATTTTTTCTTCACTAGTCACTAGTCTCGCTTCGCAAGTTCAAACATATTTCCATTTGAGTTACTTTCTCTTGTAGTCCTGACTACTCCTGCTCCCATGTTTGGATTAGTGCTTTTCTTTTTTTTTTCCTCACAAACATACATCCAAACATGTACACAATTTAAAATATGTATCCATTTTCTCAGTCACTACTGTCATTTCCCTCACAGGCTCGGGTATTTTTGAACCAGCTTCATAAGCCACCAGTGGAATTACGGTTGGACAAAAACCAGGATCTACGAGCAATACGCTTCGCCGCTTTCAACCCTATACTTGACCCCTGGATCTACATCCTGCTCCGCAAGACTGTTCTCCTGAAGCTCATTGAGAAAATCAAGTGTTTGTTTTGTAAAATGGGAGCAAGGAGCCAGCAGAGACAGAACAACTTGCACTGTATAGATGCTCATCATCTCACCTCGGTCATCTCTAACCAGGCCTTTTTGCATAATGTCAACCCCAGCTTCCAGAGGTTCCTCTACCTGCCGGAGGGAGGTGAGGTCTACGCTGGAAACTGTCATAAAGTCGACAAACTCTCTGGTTCAAGATCTTCATCGGTCAGAAACTCACAAGCTTCTTACTCATCTGAGCAGGGCAGTGCTGAGGGTCAAGGTAGGGAAGGCACAAATGTTATCGGAGTCCTTTCAGCCTGCCCAAAAGATCCAGCACTTGAGGTGTCTTTGAGCGCTGAGACAGTGGAGGAAAAATGCATCTGACTTAACTATGAAAATGCAGAGAAAAAAACAATAGAAACTTGAAGTGCTGTGAGCTTTATCGTCTTGTGTTCTCTGCTTCAGCACCAAACTACCTCAAGCAATGACTATTTATGTGTGAGCACGTCATTATTTCACCCATATGTTCTAACAGAGATAACCCACATCTTAATGAGTCAAGTGTCAGTGGTGGAAAATCCATCCTTTTTAATTTCAGCTGCTTTGTTTAGTCACTGTGTCAACATTTACTTTAAAGTACATGAGGCCAGAAATTTAGAATAACGGAGTCACAGGCTTGTGGTCCCTATGGTAAGTGAATGTGATACTTATGAGTAACCACTGACGTGTGTGGTCCCACTGTAAGGCCTGAGTGAAATTCTAATGCACAGTGCTTTATGGAAGAACAGATTATGGTAGTTACAAAACTGATGAACAGTTAAATATTGCTATCTGGTAACATCACGTTTCATATTTCAGCCCTGGAGTACACACAAATATATCACCTCGAATTATAACAAACTTTGTTTTCCTTTTTATAATGAGGGTAAAGGATCATGTACCATAGTTATTAACACCAAACTGCTTAAATGTGTGACTGGGGGTGCTGAACATCTTTTTCCTCAGCTACAGAAGGTGTGGTATGAATCAGTCGACCAGTTTTTCTTATTGTGGAGTGTAAATATTTCAATACAGCTGTCACCCTGACAAAAAGGTGTTCTAAATAATAATTGTTGTGTAAAACATTGCTTGTAGTAACATTATTCTTCTCTAGAAGAAGGTTTTTGTTAATAAACCATATAGCTCCAAAGGGGTTACCCAAACGAAGTACAGTGCACAGTTATTAAGTCATATGAATTATGTTTGATCAGTATTCATGTTCTTGAAATAATATCTTCTAGCACCAACAACCAGAAAATCAAAACTCAGATAAATGGAGAGCTTCTTATTTAGGGCTGCAAATAACATTTATTTATTTTTAATAAGCTGGTATCAGCAAAGGTTTTACAAATATGAAGTCCCAAACTTCTAAATTTAAATATTCCGTGTTGGAAAAGTGCTGTTATTTTGTCAAGCAATGACTTGATTCATATTTTTTTTTGTGATCCTGTTCTGAGTTTACCTACATTTTTTTCCAGTGACACATTCCCTTTTTTATGTGGAACAATGTTAGTCAGTTCACACCTTCTTTTCCTGTCGTATCACTACATAATAAACAGACAGCACTTCTGAACTCCCGTTTGTTTGTCCACTCGAATGAGCTTTACGTCTTTAGTTTCAGCAGTTCTGAAGCAGACAATCTGCCTCCTTTATTCGGTTATTAAAGCACCGGGAGATAATTGCTTAATATTGTGGATTAAATTATTGCCTTTCTTGTTTCTCTCATTGCTGTTAATTTTAGACAAGCTTGTTTGTGCGTGAATGCGGAGCCTTTGTGGTGTAATGATATCTGGTTAAAGGCAGATGTTGATATTGAAAGTATGCACTTTATTGTTTTTATTGTAATGTACAATCGTATCTGTGGATAGTTGTTTGTTTTTCTCTGCTATTGCGTTGCTTTTCTGTAATTATTGTCTGATGTGTACCAACAGCGAGTAGCAGCTAATAATGAACATGGACTTTGACATGTTGCTATGTTGTATTGTTATCAACATAGTGTAAAGTGCCAGTTCATAAAATGAGCACCTCACCCTGTGGTAAGATTTTGTTTTTAATTCTCTGAGTCTTGGTAATATGTCACATAACCAATGGCAGACACACACAGAAACAGAGAAAGACAGTCTTATCAGGGTCTTATCAGGGTCTTGGGAAGTAGAGCTGGCTGAGAAAGCCTCTCTCCTGAAACAATAAGCACAGTCTAAGGCTCCGTTTCATTGCAATTAAGCTTAAACAAGCAATGCAGTGGCTTAGGCAAGCATGTTGCTGAGATGACATTTAGATAGAGTGGAAGATTATTTTCCAGACCCTGGAAACAACCCATTAATTGAGTTAAACTGTGATAAATGGGATCATATGCGAGACACTGTGATGCCTACAACAAACCATTCATTTAATTTGATCCTGTTTGTCTTCACCAACATCTGCTGGACCTAATTAAATGTATAAATGGAAGACGTCTGTTGAACACATGGACACGTGCTGTATATTCTCTTTCTGTGCAAATGAGCTACAACGAGGCCTCGCTGATTTCAGACATGTTTAAGCTGTGTTGCACCACTAAATGAGAATAATAGTTTTGGAAATAAGATATTTGGTGTACAATTTGACATTAATGTTGTTAGAAACCTGTGAAGCTGCCTTCTGTCATCAGGGTCTTTAAGTGACACTTTGCACTCTGTCACCTCTGTGCTCAGTGATAAAGGGCCTCCAAGGCCTCCCCCAGTTAAATAAGTTTTTCTTTTAAAAAAAAAAATCTAACAGTGTTAGGTTTTCTGTAGGTGTCAGTGTATTATATGCAAATGAAAAGTCTGGAGTGTACTTATTTGGTCTGTGACAATGTTTAGGTAGGTAGTCGTGGCAAAATAACATCCACACGAATGGCAGGACCCAAGGTTTCCCAGCAGAACATTGCCCAGAGCATCACACTCCCTCCGCTGGCTTGCTTTCTTGCCATAGTGCATCCTGATGCCATCTCTTCCCCAGGTAAATGACACACGTGCACCCAGCTGTGCATGTAATGTAAAAGAAAATGTGATTAATCAGACTAGGCCACCTTTCTCCACACATGTAGCAACAGTGGTCACAGTTACCCAGTCATGTTTGTTATCGGTTCACATTAATGCAGGGTCAGTCTTGACTGAATTCAGCAGCTGTCGCACCACGTTTCATCACAAGTTTCAGGATGAAACATTTCAAATTCTCTACTGCTCTTATTTACGCCTCTGGCAAGCTTCTTCTCCATAGCAGTGTTGCCCAGGGCTAATGGGTATTGTTGTATGTGACCCATCGGCCTTGCCAAAAAGAAATAATTGAAATAGTGTTCATAACAGGTCATAACTCCTTAGGATCATCACAGTAGGATTCTCATTACTAGGGACTAAAATGTCACTGAAAAGGGAAAATCTTACAAAAATGTATGAAAGGATTATACATTATGTTGTTATACAGTCGAGCATTTGTTACCATATTTAAATACAAATTCACTATCACAGCTCAGTGCAGCCCAGCTGAGACAGCACAGCTCCAGGGCTGGAATTTGTTACCCTTCTGACTCTGTTAAGTCCCACACAAATATGTTGAGCAACTTATTTCAAAGGCTTTAAAGCAGAATTATGTACAGCAGCAAGTTCCCATAAAATTAGCAGCCACTGCAGTAACTTTGATCCCGATGGTTATATAATACCGCTGCAAATAGGAAAATCTTAACCACAGGAGGTGACCTGTTAGACAACAAGCCAATCAGATCAGTAATGGATTTTTAAATAAACCTACTGTTACATCCTTCAGTGTATTTCTATTTTTTTTTCTTCTATTTTTATGCAGGAAGTATAATAGTTGTACATTTTTAACAAAATAGAAGCCCTCTGAAGGTGCTCTGAATTCTAAGTTTAAGGGAACCTGAGAAGTATTGTGTTTCTAATGTAGACAGGTGAAAGTGTTCAATAGCAGTAAGAGCATTATAACATCTGGTCATCGTGATATGTGCACGTGTATTTGCGTGGGTGTGTTGGTGTATTTATTAGTCACCTTTATTGAAGTATTTTCCACAGTCCACAATAGATTGTTTCTGCAGGTTTAGAGTTCACTGAGTCAGTTGTCTCAACAAAAGAAAAATGAACAATTTCCAGTACACAAGTTACTGACTTAATGGGCTGCAGGGAGTCCAGATACTGTAAATCAGTGGCGCTTGCTGTGCACCTCCCACACTCTGGGTTCAAATCTAACCAGTGACCTTAAACGTATGTCACCCCCTTATGTTTGAAAATGAAATTATACACATGAACATGCAAATTTGTGGTAAAGGTAAAGGATACAACTGGTAAAAAAGATAAAAGAAGGGTATCAAGATGCAGTTAAGTGATAACTGCAGCAGATTTTGTACTCAGATTTCTGAGTCATTTTTGAAAAAAAAGGCTCTTCATTTCAGCCAGATGTAGACAAAAGCAGGTAACTTGTCTTGCCAGCAGCACAAATAGGCCAAGAAAACAAAACTATACAAATACAATGACTTTATCAATCATTTAAAGATGTCACAGCAACCGCCACATAAGACAGAAAGACACAAAATAAAAGTTGGTAGTGTTTGATTTCACCACAGAACGCTGGTAAATGGTATAACCACATGTACAGAAAGTCACATGTTCACACACGCTGGAAGCCAGCACCATTTCCCAGCTTGCACTGCTCTCACTGCCAACTCTGCTCCTCACTCACAATTTCTGCGCCCAGTTGCTCTGTGTGCCAGTATTAGCAGTGGCTCTTTCATCAATCCAATTCATTAGTCACATCCTGTATGGGCAGGAAAATAAATATGGTTATGAATCATATGTTTACCCAGTGTTAGTATTATTTTTTATATGACTGGTGGCGTATTTACCAAACTAAAATATAGTTATTTTATTCTTTGACATTAAAATAAAATGATGTTTATATGACATTTAAAAATGTAAAGTATAATCATTTTAATTATCAGTAACAAACAGTGTTACATAAGTTTGAAAGCACTAGAGCAGATATAACAAGCCACAGCAATACCATAGTTTAGTTTGATTAACACAACAGTGATACAACATACTACTGCTACTGCTAATACTACTACTACTGATAATAATAATAATAATAACAACAACAACTCTGTGTCGTGTCTTGGGTAGTTTTCGTCTCTAAGATTGTAAGTAAAGGTAACCTATTCTTGCTTTGGAGCTTCTGTATATATTGTGCGTTTCATTCACTGATTGTGCCACAACTTTAGTTGTGCACTCACAGTATGTCATTTTTTATACTGGGCAGCTGTGCCTCTGAGCCAATAGCATGCATGGGAACATCTGGTACAAGATACCAGATAAATGTGATTCAGCAGAGGGGTCATAGAAGAACGGGCCATATGTCAGTTACTTTATGTCAGTCTGAAATGGTTTATGAAACTTAACTTCAAAAGGGCAAGAAATTAGTGGGAACACTGTGGGAACAGTAATGAGCAACTTATTTTCAAAACACTGGCTCTTATACATGATAATAATCATGATAAATGTGCATTGCTTGCGTGATTTTGCATGTTTCTGTGTGTTTAAAGAAGCATTGCCTTCTTTGACTTCTTCGACTTGTTCCTTTCCCTTCACCAAAGCCAATGAGACACTGTCCTCTGTTCCACTGCCCAAACTAGGCCATTAATTGCCAGTGGTGTGGATCAATATTAAGTGTTTTACAAGTGGCAGAGGATAAGTGCTTTTACTTGCACACATACATTATATCAGATGTTGCCTCTAAATGCCAAGTACCAAAAGTACCAAAGAGGTCACAGATTGAAGGAGTGCGCAAGCCTCTTTTGCCATCACTACCCCTTCATTTTTATTTTTATTTTACATGTATTTTACCAGGAAGTCCCACATATTTAGATATGTTTTCTAAACAATATCCCTATAAGGAAAAGTGGGGCTTGCATGGTGGCTTTCTTAAAGCTACTCTAGAAATCAGTTTAACATTTCAAAGTGCATTCACCCCTTAGATCACAACACATCTCAAACACTTAGTGTATATGATAGTTCATTAGTTGGTTTTTGCAATAAAAGTATCTGTATCTCTGTTAATTTTGGTGATCCTGGGTAATAATCAAGTGGATTCTTGCCAACATAACACTTGAAACTTGGGTTCTCAGTGAGGGCCACATTCACTTCTCAGTGTGTCACCTTGTGATGACCTCTTTGTGCTTTGCATAACCACCACACAAGCTGTGAGAAAGTACAAATCACCTTGCCCTTGTCAAATAAATCAGCATTTTGGTTTCACCATAATGTGATCCCCTTGTCATTACATTATTTGACCACGGTCATGGACTCTGAGGACTCTTGACCATGCGACGTGACAGTGACCGTGTTCATCACGTATCCGGATGTGACGATCTGTCTCCTCTTCTTTTTATTCTGTGCATCCTGTGTGAACTGTCAGACCCTCCAGTATGTTTGCTTTGAGAGTCTTTGCAGAATGTCTTCCTTCTGGACCAGATAGAAAATAAACATCTGTCGCTTTGGGAAAACAATTATTCTTATAATCTAAAAGCTATGAAAGGATCTAAAGTCAGTATGACAGAGGAGAAGTTTCAGACTCCCACTGAAGTTTAAGTGTACGTTGCTCACTGATGTTTGTATTTCTGAAACATATATTTCTAATGAATCAAAGTCTTGTGGATCTTCATTAAAATCACCAGAACTTTATATCTAGTGTAGAATGATGTTGCTCTGTTTGCATGTTTCCCTGTGAATTGTTTGTTTAGTGTGATTTTAGCGTGGCCCATCAGTCTAAACTGTTAAGCTTAAGAAATTTGAAACTAAATGAGGACTAAACCAAAATTATAGCTACTGATACTGACTCAGAGCAAGATGCTTGGTCTTAATTATTGGTGTTAAAACTATGAAATAGCCCAACCTGTCAGGTTTGGACATCAGTTTCAACATCTTCTCTGTCCCGGATACGCCACTGGTTTTGGGTCACTCCTGGTTGGTCCAACACAACCCCACCGTGGACTGGACCACTGGCACCATCACCCAGTGGAGCCCAGACTGTGCATCGACCTGTCTCCTCGCCGGACAACCCACCTCCTCTTCACCTATTACACCACCTGAGCCGTTGGACCTGTCCTCCATTCCTCCAGACTACCATGACCTGCAACAAGTTTTCAACAAACATCTGGCCACTGACTCTCTCCCCTCATAGACCCTAAGACTGTGCCATCGACCTGTACCCGGGAGCCACCTTGCCCAACAGTCGCCTCTTCCACATCTCAAAACCCGAACGACAGGCTCTGGAGGAGTACATTGAAACAGCCCGACGTGCAGGCATGATCCGTCCTTCTTCCTCACCCCTGGGTGCAGGGTTCTTTTTTGTGGGGAAGAAGGATGGTGGTCTCCGTCCATGTATCGATTACCGTGGTTTAAATGCCATAACTGTCAAAAACAAATATCCATTACCTCTCCTTTCCTCTACTTTTGAATCTCTCCAGGGTGCGGCAGTCTTCACCAAGCTGGACCTCAGGAGTGCCTACCACCTCGTGCACATCCTTGAGGGCGATGAGTGGAAGACTGCCTTCAAGACCCCACTTGGGCACTTTGAGTATCTGGTGATGCCTTTTGGCCTCACCAATGCCCCGGCGGTTTTCCAGGGGTTGATCAATGACATCCTCCGTGATTTTCTTGGTCGGTTTGTTTTTGTTTATCTCGATGACATTCTTGTTTACTCTTCTTCCCTCACAGAGCACATCCAGCACGTTCGTCAGGTCCTTCTTTGACTCCTGGAAAACCGCCTGTATGTTAAAGCTGAGAAGTGCGTCTTCCACTCTCCCTCCGTGGCATTCTTGGGGTTCATCATTGAACAGGGAAGACTCCGCGCCGATCCATCCAAAATCTCTGCTGTCACCAATTGGCCTACCCCTACCTGTGTGAAGGACCTGCAACGCTTCCTG